GGGGGGGGTTCATCTGAATGCACTGACCACAGGACCCCAGACCACGCTCACATCTGGGGATTCACCTGTGTGCACTGACCACACTGGACCTAGACCACGCTCACATCTGGGGGTTCACACATATACACTGACCACAGGACCCCAGACCATCAGCGAGGTTTATTAGGAAAGTAACAGACGACATCTCAGGATCAGGACCGACCTGGAGACATCAGTTACACATGATGACAGTCGCCAGCCAGGAGATGTCATTACTATGCAGCTTCACCTGAAGGCGTCGCCCCCCCTGCCTGGCCACAGGCCCCTCCAGCCTCTGCCCTGTCAGGACGATTGTTGCGTCTCTTTTGCTCCATCTCCACCAGCAAGTGCCTGGGGGCCCCTGGCTCCAGCAGCACACCTGTGCCCAGAGGTGCTTCACCGTGGCTGGTTCCGTGGGCTGTCTGCACCCGAGCCCCTGCCACAGGGCAGCCAGCCTGTGTGGGGCTGTCCTCCCCGGACCGCTGCCACTCACTCTCTGCAGAGTGACCTGCCGTGTGAGGATGTCCTGTCCCCCTCCTCCACCCAATCACTGCCACCCGTTCTCTGTGGAGTGGCTGGCTGTGCGGGGCTGTGACCCCCGGACCACAGCCTCCTGTTCTCTGTGTGCACCTGCCCTGCCCGCTTACTCCCTGTCCTGTTGGTGAGGGCAGCTGTCATATAAGCAAAGTCCTTCCCACTTACGAGGTCCCCCTTTCCCAGCCGGGCTGCACAGGACTGATCCCTGAAGGATTCTTGTCCCTCTTGGAGGGTCTCTGCTCTGTGTTTACATAATAGATCGGCCAGGGGCTGCAGAGTGTGTGACAGACCAGTCCCACAACAGGCGGCGACCCAGCCACTTCTGGCAGTGGGTCACCCCAAGGTCATCAAGGTCAAGTCCAGAGAAAACCTGTTTCTGCAGGGGCATCACGGAGCCCTGGTGGCAGCTCTGGCCAGGTCCCAGCACATAGCAGGAGGAGGAGGACTGGGTGGCATTTTGGGAAAGGGTTGGCTGAGGCCATTGATGGTCAGCTGGGACACAGGCTGTGGGCCTGGCTGTGATGGGTCTTGGGCATGCCCTGCCCTGGGTTGGAAACTCCCACCTCGTCCCTGAGGTCTGGACACAAGAACCTGGGTCCACGTCTGGCCTCATCACAGCGTCCACTCCGCCGCCTGCCGCAGAGGCCCAGGGAGAGATTGCTCACCCGAGCTGAGGGACCCTGCTCGCCGCCTCCTCCTCCGCTCAACTGCAGCACTGGCCTCGGGACTGAGTTCTCGGACACCTGGGGGTCTGGGAGTGGGACTAGAGGCGAGAGGCTGGCGGACAGCAGCTGGCCAGGGACCTGAGCGTGGTTGCGGCCTCAGGTTGGCAGCAGCCGAGAGGGGCCGTTTGTATTTATGTATGTGTGACACCTGGGGTCCCAGGACTGTGGGTCAGGCTGAGTGTCCGAGCTGGTCTGCTGGGCCGCAGGCACCTGTGTGCTGGGCCGTGGACACCTGTACGCTGGGCCATGGGCATCTGTACGCTTGGCCATGGGCACCTGTACGCTGGGCCATGGTTATCTGTACGCTGGACCGTGGGCATCGGTATGCTGGACCGTGGTCATCTGTACGCTGGACCGTGGTCATCTGTACGCTGGACCGTGGGCACCTGTATGCATCTGTACGCTGGGCCATGGGCATCTGTGCATTGGGCCATGGGCATCTGTACGCTGGGCCGTGGGCATCTGTACGCTGGGCCATGGTCATCTGTACGCTGGACTGTGGTCATCTGTGCATTGGGCCATGGACGTCTGTACGCTGGACCGTGGTCATCTGTACGCTGGGCCGTGGGCGTCTGTACGCTGGACCGTGGGCATCTGTACGCTGGACCGTGGGCGTCTGTACGCTGGACCGTGGGCGTCTGTACGCTGGACCGTGGTCGTCTGTACGCTGGGCCGTCGGCACCTGTACGCTGGACCGTGGGCGTCTGTACGCTGGGCCGTGGGCGTCTGTACGCTGGGCCGTCGGCATCTGTACGCTGGACCGTGGGCATCTGTATGCTGGACCGTGGGCATCTGTACGCTGGACCGTGGGCATCGGTACGCTGGACCGTGGGCATCCATACGCTGGACCGTGGTCATCCGTACGCTGGGCCGTGGGCATCTGTGCATTGGGCCATGGGCATCTGTACGCTGGGCCGTGGTCGTCTGTACGCTGGACCGTGGGCATCTGTGCATTGGGCCATGGGCACCTGTACGCTGGGCCGTGGTCATCCGTACGCTGGGCCGTGGTCGTCTGTACGCTGGACCGTGGGCATCCGTACGCTGGGCAGGGCTGAGGACGCCGTGGCAGGCCTCACTCGTGGGGCGTGGTGTGTGTTCCCTAGACTCTGATGGTATTTTAATGTGTCTCTTGTGCTTGATTTTTAGTCAAAGTTTGAACCCGACCCAGGCGTCACTGGTTGCTGCGGATCAGAAGCTTAAGAGCTTTGGTTCGAGAACAGTTAAGGCCATGGAGCTAAGCAGTGGCAGGAACGGCCCCGCCTGGGAGCTCTGAAGACGTAACTTGGCACAGGAGGATTGATGGTGGCGGAAACCGCGCTCATTTTAGGAAATGGCAGGTTGGTTGGGGCTCCCGCGTTCCGATGGGCCCGAGGTCAGGCTCCGCAGGTGCGTGTGGGCTTACTGTCCGGGACAGGCTGACCCCTTGAGACTGCTGGCCGAGAGGTTGATGGTTCAGATGTACCCCAAGGGGCCCCCGCAGACAGGCTGGAAAGTCGCAGCTCGGCTCTGGACACGTGGGGTCACTGTGACTCGGGGTTGACTAGCTAAGCCACGTCCCGACGACCCTCACCCTCTGAGTCCCCTGTGCGTGACCTGGTGCAGGGCTGGGGCGTGTGGGTTTCCCTCCCCCCACGCGTGGGGAGTGTTGGGGTGCTGGGGCCCAGCCTCTTCTGGCTCAGGCCCCTCATCTGGTCTGTATGAGGCGTGTCCACGAATTCCCAGGGACAGGCTGGGTGAGGGTGGATGCCGAGGTTACGCGGGGCCTTGGTGGAAATCCGAGTTGTTGGCCAGTCCTGCAGCCCTAGGAGACGGCCAGCCTGTAGGCCAGGGCTGCCCATGTCTTTTCTGTCCCTTTCTGTCCCCCAAGGGCTGAGAGCCACTCTGTTTGTGAGATGAGAACAGCCTGGCTGCAAGGGGGCAGCTCAGACTGACCCCCAGGACTAGAGCTGTTGGGTGACTGGCCACCTTGCCTGAGTGAGACCTTGGGGATAGCTTCAAGCCTGTCTGGCACACAGGAGCCAGGAGGAGCCTGGGGCAGCCATGTGGGCAGCTCCAAGTGAGTGGGCAGGAGGAAGTGGCCAGGGCTGAGGGCCATGGAGAAAACTGGTGAGGAAAGGTTACCTCCCTATTTTACTCCTGTGGGCCCCACTCCCAAGCTGGGCCACCCCACCATGGTCCAGGCGTCCTGGGTCAGCCGACCCTCCTGCCAGGCCTGGACCAGTGTCCTCACCTGGGCAGCGTGTCCAGTGTTTGTTGCCAGGCCCACCTTGTACTTCCAATGATCGCGGACCCCCGAGCTTGTGCCCCCCGAGTCTTCTGTCTGCTGACGTTCCCTCGTTAGAGTGTGATCACGTGGGAGAGAAGACCATCAGCAGGACTGGCTGACCGTGACCGTGACCATGGGCTCTGCGGAGCTGGGAAGGGCGGCGTCTGTACACGGGGTCACTGTGAGGTGGTGCTCACTGCAGCACCAGGTAACGGGTTCACAGAGCTGCGTTTGGAGCGTGAATTTATCAGTTCACCGAAGATCGCGGGACAAATCCCCCTAAACCGAGTAACACTCGCGAGTGAGAAATGGCCATCTGATGCCGGGCGGCCGGGGAGGAGCGTGCCGCCCTGCGTGTTGGTAAACCTCGCTGGCTCACCAGGGTTGCCTGGTTTGTGTGTCTGTGGTCAGCTTGCGCACTGCCCCCCCCCCCCCCCGGACCCTGCAGGACACCCCAGCCGTGCGGACTTGCCTGTGCTGTCGAAGGTGGCAGTGGGGACACTGCGTTCGTGTGGGACTGCCCGCCCTCTTGCTCAGCGCCCAGGCGCCCCGCCATGTCCTGGCCCCTCCCAGCCTCCGCAGCTGCCGGGTCAGCGCCTCCCGTGCTCGTCCTCCGTCTTTCTGACCCTCTGTCAGGCATGACGCCTCCTCCAGGGACGGCCTCCTCCTCATGACATGTCCACAATGCCCACGGGGAGGGCTGGCCGCTCCCAAGGGGATGGTGGTCCCTGACCTCGAGGTGGCACTGATTCGGGACTGACCCTTGAGTTCTGAGGCTGGATCTCACGGGGGAGGAAACTGACCACCTTCCTCCCGAGGCAGAGGAATGATCACCACTGGCCTCCATCTTGGCACATCCCAGGTCAGGGTGGACACAGAGGACAGCTGTCATGGGCCCCGGGGTCAGCTCACTGTCCAGACTCTTCACTCCTCACCTGTGCCCTCACTGCTCAGTCTTGGGGTGCATCCGATGGCCCCAAGGAGTGGACAGAGTCCAGGTCCGGTTTTAGTTCTGCCGCTTACCAGCTGAGGTGGGGCCTTTGGGGCTTCTCCTTGGCACCTGTCACCCAGGGTGTGATCGGCCCACAAGCCCGGTGGTCAGCTGGTGTCGAGCCGCCAGACCCTCGGCGTCATAGAACACGCCCCTGTCCTGTGCCGTCTGCGTTCTGTTCTGGATTGGATCGTTGCTGTCCACACGGTTTCATGGCCAGTAGTTGGGAATAGTTTGTCAGGCATTTCTCCCATCTGTGTTTTGCCGAGTGTCCTAGCGCCCAGGTGGGTTCCCTGCCCCTCACCGTGCGGGTCAGTGAATGGGTGGAGCGCTCACCCTCCCACCTCTGCTTATCTCTTGGACTTTGTGTCCACACGTGCAGACGTGGATCATGTGGAGTCCGGCTTGTCAGGCCCTGGTCGGGACCCGGCCACTGTGCTGTAGACCGAGGTAGAAACGGTGCGATTCTCTGATCTGTCCATCAGTTACACTTCCCACCCTGGTCCCTGCACCACGCAGGCTCTGGGCCTCTTGCTGGGACAGAACCGGGGCCGCAGCCACTTCTCTCCCTGCTTGTCCATCATCTGGACGGCCTCCCCACCCCTTCCCCACATCCCAGAGCTGCCACCCAGTCCCACAGCCGAGGACTGACCATGGCACCCCGAGGACTGACCCCCTCAGGTGACCGGAAGCTGTTGTGTCACCGGTCCCTTCACCACCGTGTGTAACTCACTTGATAAAACACCCAGGAGCCCTGAATTTGGCACCTACTGAAAAGGTTGGTGGTCCGAGACCCCCTCAGGAGGCCTTTTCTCCTGCAGAGAAAGCTGAAGCAGTCTGTCCTTGTGAAGACTGACGGCCGGTGGGGGGCTCCAGGCAGCTGTGCTTGGCCTGTAGCCCGCAGGGAGGGTCCGCAGAGGGTGGGCTCTGCTCTGTCAGCCTCGTGTGACAGGTGCCCAGCAGGGTGTCCCAGGCCCGCTGTCCCGGCCCACCAGGCGTCTGTGTGTGTGTAAGTGTGTGTGGGATTTAGCTGGGGTCCTGCGGGGCTGCACAGCCACTGAGTGTCCCCTCCTGTCGTTGCAGGCGTCCGACCTCCGATTATGAATGGGCCCCTGCACCCCCGGCCCCTAGTGGCCCTGCTGGACGGCCGAGACTGCACTGTGGAGATGCCCATCCTGAAGGACGTGGCCACTGTGGCCTTCTGTGATGCACAGTCCACACAGGAGATCCATGAGAAGGTGAGGAATGGGGCCCAGGGCGCTGGGCGTCTGATATTCATGTGGGTTGACCTGCTGGCCAGCTGGGCGTCTGGTCTCAGATGTTCCTGTGGGGTGGATGGCCAGGCCTGTTTGTTACACGTTCGCATGGGGTCAGCAGCTGGTCAGTCAGTCCTGGTTGTCAGATGTTTACCTGGGTTACCCGCTGGCTGGTCAAGGGGAGCCCTGGCGTGTGAAGCTGAGAGGACAGTGTTAGGGGACGTGCTTCCCTGGCCTCTTGGACTGTTACTGTCTGCACCCCTGGCCCCGCCCCTCCGGGTGGGGTCTGTACCCCTGGCCACGCCCCCCGCGTGGGGGTCCACACCCTCACCACGCCCCTCGAGGGGTGGGGTCTACACCCTCTGGCTCCGCCCCTCCACTTGCTGTCTAGGGCAATGCCTGACCCTTTGGGAAGCAGATACTTGTCCTGTCCTCTGACTTGTCTGATGAGTTTTCATCATTACTGGTTTTCTCCAGAAAGTGGAGCCTTGTGTTGTTAGATTTTCTTCATGGAGGCCATGGTGGTCTGTGCTCACTCGTTCCCATGGGAGCGAGGGGTGTGGTGGCCTGTGCCCCTTGTCCCCATGGATGCGTGCCTGGTAAGCTGTGCCCGCCTGTCCCCATGGGAGGCATTGATGTGGTCACCTGTGCCCACCCCATCCCCATGGACGCGTGCCTGGTGAGCTGTGCCCGCCTGTCCTGCCCTCCTTGCATGGGGAGCTCTGAGCCCCTCACCTGGAGCTGGGGGTCGATCTTGGTTTGCGGCTTGTGGGCGGCTCCATGACGTGTGTGCTTGTTAAGGAGCTTCCAGGCCATCCCCGTGATGGGAACTTTTCTCATCTCCTAATAGCAGACCCACCGGGTAAGAGCAGGCTTTCTAGGGAACAAAAAACCTGGATGAAATACAAATGAAGCTAAGAAGCCCTGGGAGCTAGCCGCTGAGAGCCCGGATCATGGGGCGCTCAGTCCAGAGGATCGGGGGCCTTGGCCGGCCTGCGCCTGGGGCGTTTCTTCTTCTGGGACAGGTGTCTGAGCTTGAGCGTGTGACTGAAGGGTGGCCTCCTGGGCTGGGTGTTCAGGAGAGGGTGTCTGTGAGATGTCCTGGTGGGCCTGGGCGGGGTCCTGGCGGGCCTGGGGGGAGTCCTGGTGGACCTGGGCGGAGGCCTGGCAGTGAGGATGAACTGGGAGCAAACCGTGCACACACATAGTCTCTGTGAACCTTGACCTTGGTCTGTGGGCCCCCAGGAGCCCTGTGCCTGGGCGTCTGGGGCTCCTGCCAAAAGCAAACACAACAATGGCTCAAGCACAGCGTCCATCACAGGCCGTCAGGGAATCTGACAGCACGCGAGCATCAGCAAAGCGAAAGCACAGGGCTCACCGTTGGGAGCCTGGCCGCAGCCCTCCCGACATGGACGTGGGCACCGGCCTCACCAAGGAGACAAGCCGCACGTGAATGTCTAGACCAGCAGCTGGTAGCCGCATACAGTGACACATCAGATGGGGAGACGGAAAGTCTGGAGCTGAAAACACGGAGGCGGCATTGAGGAAGACTGGCTGGGGACCGGGGACGTGGCCCGGCCTCGCGGTGCGTCCCTGGGCTTACTGCTCACCTCCTGTCCCGGGCTTGGAGCTGGAGAAGCAGGTGACCTGGAAGGCCGACGCTGAGAGAGTGCAAGTCCCCGCGGAAGTCTGTGGTGGAGGACGAGGAGAAAGCAGCTCAGTGAGACAGTGACGCTCTGCTGCGGTCACGTGCCCCCCAGAAGCTGCAGCCCGGCCCCCTCCTCACGGAACAGCCCAGGCTGCGTGGGAAGCTGCGCTCTGATCCTGTGAGAATGGGGCACAGCGCCTGGGCTTCCTCCTGTTCGAGGTGACGGAGGCCAGGTGGACAGCCCACAGCGACCATCTCTGCCCCGTCAGAGTTCGTTCCGTGGTATCACTGGACATGGGATGCCGGGTCTCACCCTGTCCTCAGCCACTGTCCACTGAGGTTAGGAGGACGTCCAGCGGAGATGTCCAGTTAGGGCCTTGACCACAGCCAGGGCAGTAGAGATCATGTGGGGAATCTGGGTCCTGCCCTTGTCTTCTTACATCACTGGACGCCAGCTGGGGAGCCTGGGCGCCTATTTCCGCCGGACAACACGTTGACGCCTCACTTAGCAGCGTGACGAGTCTCCATTATGGGAAAATCAACATTCTGTGACATTGAGAATGACTTTATCATTACTAGGGAGTGAGAATTACGCGGCCAGCCCGAAGGCATGCAGTTCAAATCCTCCCGCAGCTCCGTAGGAGGAGGAGGCCGTTAACTGCCTCTGAGGGTCAGCTGTGGGTCTGTCCGGCCCACATATGTGTGTATGACGGTAACATCATTACTGTAGTGAACTGTAGTGGCTTAGTGGTAAGGAGCTGCATTGCCAGCCCAAAGGAACACGACTCGAATCCACCGGATGCCCTGCAGGAGAAGGCTGGGAAGTCTGTGGAATTTACGGACCTGAAAACCTGCTGGAGAATCAGCTGTGAGTCGATCCCAAGGCCGTGGTGCACGGCACAACATTGTCACTAGTCAGTCTGCGTCTGGGAGTCTGGTGAACCCTGTCGACCCGGGGTGACCCTGATGGCATTGGACACAGCCCTGGGGAAGCTGGCGCCCCAGCCATCCACAGGTCACCCCAGTACAGCAGACAGTACAGATGGGTGCTAAAAAAAACAAGTGCGTTTGCACCTTGATGGTAAAACGCTCTGTCTGTACGCCCAGCAAATCATTCGAGAAGCTAGACTTTCTGAGGAGGACTGTAACACCAAGATTGGAAGAAGAGTCACTAACAACTTGTGTGACGCAGGTGACACAGCCTTACGTTCAGAAAACAGTGAAGACTTGAAGAAGACGACCCTTCAATACAGGTTTTCAACGTTAAGAAAACACAAGTCCTCACTGCTGGGCCAGTAGGCAGCATCACAGTGGAGAAAAGGTTGAAGTTGTCAACGATTTCATTCTTGCTTGGATTCACAATCCCTTGGCACCAGTCTTCACAAGATTAGGAGTGTTTAGCAACGGGAAAGTCCTCGTTCAAGGACCTCTCCAAAGTCCTGAAGGTAAATGATGTCAGTTTAGAAGACTGAGCTGTGCCTGATTCAAGTGGTGGTTTTCCCAGTCTCTTGCCATGCGTCTGAGAGCTGAACAGTGAATAAGGATGAGAGAAGAAGAAACATTGCCTTTGAACTGTGGTGTTGGAGAAGAGTACTAAATATTTCATGAACTGCCAAAATAACAGATACGTCCCAGAGAAGGTGTAACCAGAGCGCACCTGGGAGGCCAGGATGCCAAAGCTTTCCCTCACACACTTGCGGCATGATGCTAGGAGAGGCTGCTCCTCAGACAGGACTTGACCTGACGGCACCTAACAACAGCATCATTCCAATAGGGAGTTCTGGCGGCTTAGTGCCAACCCACAGGTCCATGGTTCAAATCCATCAGCTGCTCCACAGGAGAAAGGTGGGCAGTCTCTCAGCTGTGGGTCAGGTCTGTCTCGACATACACGCTAACAAGGTATCAGGAAACAGCTGCTACAGTGTGGAGAGTCAGGGCTAAGCCCGGTGGACACGTAACCCCAAGCAGTATACCTAGGCTCACAGGGTCCCTGTTTCCTTTTTGAACACCTGCCTGTTGGGCCGTGTTTGGGTTCCACACGGGCAGAGTGAGTATTCTGGAATTGCCTTCTTCCCAGCTTATCCTTCCTCAGCTGTGGTCCACACTGTGTGAGAGCCTTAGACTGGTCCATACGGCACAGGTAAACCCCTCCTCTTTGCTTTCAGTCAAGGTCTGTCTGACATCCACGGGGACAACCCTCATTCCACAGCCTCTTCTGAATCCAGCGTGAATTCCTGGTAGTTCCCTGGGGATGAACTATTTTCAGTAATACTGTATTTGCAAGTTCTGAAAGGTGAAGATATCATGAAAGCGGGCTGAGGACGACACCACTGTCCTCTGTTGACATGAGATTTATTGAGCTCAGAGCAGGCAGCTCTATATAGAGAGAGGCAGGTGCATCCCCCAGTGTCCACGGCTGTCCTTGCAGTCACGATGCCACGTCTTTTCGCTGAGCAGCTAGTGAACAAGCTTTGGTAGCAGCTCAGTGGTAGCCATTGTACTGCTGAGGTTCCTTTCACCTCATTTATCACGGAAAACCAATCAGAATGACAGCTGATTTCTCACCACGACTATGGGAGCCAGAAGGAGAGGGCAGGACATTCCAGGTGTTGAAAGGAAAGAACTAACGGCCTGGAATCTCATGACCAGTGAAAATTTCCTTTGAGAGTAAAAGGAATGTAAGGACATTCTTAGATGAAGAAAGACCGAGACTGTCCCTGGCAGACGTACCTTAAAAGAATGGTTGGAGTAGCTTCTTCCCAGAGGAAATAAAGAGGGAAGGGAGGCCCTTCAGACCATGGAGAAGGGAACAGGACAAAGGATGTCTGCTTGAGGATCAGAGCACAAGTCGGAGCGTTGTCTGGTCTCACTGAAATGTGACATTGAGCTGGCTCCCACTCAGCGACACACAACAATAAATGCATTCAGAAGAAATACTTAATGACAGTAGGAAGTGGCGCATGGAAGGCTGTCAAGGGGATACGTTTTCTGCAATTAATGTGACGAGCACTGGGCATCCCCTGGACTGCCCAAAGGACAGACAAATAGGAGGCTTCACCTCACACACTTGACCCGTGTTGCTAGGAGGGCCTGGTCCTTGGAGAGGGACATGATGCTCCGAGAAGTCGAGGGTTGGTGAAAGAGAGGAAGACCTGCAACCAACTGGACTGACACGGTGACCGCTGCAGTGGGCTCTGATGTGTCAGGAGGTGTGAGGACAGCACAGGATAGAAGAGGGTTCAGATCTGTTGTTCACAGGAACACCATGAGTTGTACTCAAATTATGGCACCTTACAACAAGGTGAACTTACCACATGGGAATCACAGAACACTT